CGGTCTGGTGTGTTGGTGGTAGTGGTGAAGGGGGGGGGGGGGGGGGGGGGGGGGAAGCGATTGTCTGAAGTCGATACATAGGGAGCGGAAACAAGCAGATTGAAGCAGATGATAATGTGCCCAGTCATTGGCATCTTTTAAACAACAGGTAAAGGTGAGCGGAGGGTAGATATTATCATTCCTCACCTGTTTGTCTGTGTACGTGTTAATACTGTAGAGAGGCCTCTGCAGCTCAAACTCTTTCTCACTCAAACGTCGGCTCCTCCAAGCTTTTGTATCCGCCATCATCCTCTCTGGGTCGGCCTCTGCCACCACCTCAACCTGAGATAAAAAAAAAGACATTGATATTGAAAACTCACGACTGCGTTCTCACTTGCAACCAAAAGGTGGCACTGATGTTTCTGCCCGGGGTATGGATGAGTCCAGTTCTTCCCTTGTGAGTAATTTGAACTGACAGAACAAAGCTGAGTGGCTCAAACCGTTAAGGCCGGCAAATAGTTCACCTGCTTTCTGAGAGCTTCCAGACGATCGTGCCTCTCTCGTTCCTCCCTCTGCTGCTCCAGCTCCTGCTTTTCTCTCTCCCTCATTCGTTTCTGCAACACATCAGCGCGAAACAGCACCCTAAAGGGAGCAGAGAGAGAGGGAGAGGCTGTCGGACATCAGGCCTGGATGACACCTCTGCTCCTTGGCCACGGCCAGAGGCAGCGTTACCTATCACTTCACACCGAACCTGCAGGTGGGGTTTTAATGGTGCTGCCAGAGTGCAGCTCTTCTCAGATTATCTGTTTTTATCTATTTTTCAGCTCCCCCCCCCCACGCCCCCCACTTGTTCTTCCTGACAAAACGCAGTCTAAAAGCTGCGGCTTACTCCATCATGAAGCCGCTTTAACATTATTCCTCGCCTTGCCCCGTATGGTGCCACATCAGAAAACGAAGTGCGCTTTGTGAAACTTCACACCTGTCAAGAATAACTGAAACCAGACAGCAAAACACATTTTTAATAATCTAACATTTTCTTTTTGCCTGACGTCAAATCAAATGTAACCTTTTTCCGTTGAAAGGCAACACCTGAAGCACACGGCTTTCTTGTGTGATTATGTGGAAAATCCAAATAATTCAATAATCCAGAAGTGTTGTTCCTCCCCGGATGCAATTCCCAGACTCCAGAAAACTGCATGTTCAATTGCAAGTTACAAATACCATGCAAATGTCTGACTGGCCATCATGCAGTTCAAGAAGGAAACTGGTTCTGTGTCCCAACTTGTTTTGTTTGGATTTGTGCAAATACACACCAGAACAAAAGCTCTGTAAACACGCTGACTGTTAATAGCATGGATAGCTTCAATGAAACAAAAAGGCCTCTGTGAGAGCTTAAAACCCCTCGCATGTCAGAAGAGTTTTTCTTTGATTCAATCTAGGATCCTACAAGTCCAATCGAAGATAACCAGCAAAGTAAAGCAATAGCAGCGTCTCTTACAAGTGGTATGCACAAATTATGTGAATACTGTGAGCGTGTCTGCAAAATTGGAGCACGTTTGTGGCGCAACAACCTCAAAAAGTGCTGTAACTACGTTAGTTTACCTTTTTAAGAAGGGTATTCAGATATGGCTTTCTTTGCAAGTAAAGAATTTTACTTTTTTGTTTTGTTTTGTTTTTTACTGCAGCAAATAGACAGATGGTGATCATGTTGAACTAAAAGAAACACCAGAGTCTTGTTTAGATCACCTTGATATCAGTATTTTCATTAGTTGTGACTGTGCTTCATGCTCACGTGATCAGTAAATCATTGTTTACTTTACCCTTTCGTTAGATGGGAACATGGCACAGAAGCTACTTAAAACCGAAAGATGAGTGCTGTTCCAAAAAACAGGCTTTTAGTCTGTAATTATGGTAAAAAAAAAGGGGGGGGGGGGTTCTCAAAAGTCAGAGTAGGGCCCTTTAAATTGTTTTGAGGAAACTGGATCTACTGCAGCCATGAGATAAGGCAAATAACAGCAGAGCACGTCATCAAGCCTTGTCCAATTCTGATTGCCGAAGAAAGGAAATGTGTGCATTGGCAGCTTTATTGATGACTTTTACCACCAGCAAAACATCAGTTTGTGGCAGCCGTGAGAATAAGGCAGAATTAAATCGATAGATATAATCAGTGTGCTTATTGGCATCACATCCATTATCTATAACTGTTTATCTTTTCAAGGTTGAAGGCGGGGGCCGGCGCCTATTCCCAGCATTCACTGACAGACCAGATCCATCGCCAGGCCCACCGCGGGCCAACACATGACACTGACATACAAAGAAATGAGGTCCCTCTATCCAGCACTCACCTCTCCCGGTCTCTTCTCGCCTGTTCTTCCATGTCGCTCCTCAGAGCTGCGAGTGCCTTCTGATCCCTCTCTTCCAGCAACTCCCTCCTCCTCTGCTGCTTTAAATAAAACAGTCTCAGCTGGAAGAACAGAAAAACGAAGCGCGACAAACAACAGAAAGTTAACAAGGAGAGCAATCACGCAGTAAGCAAAGTTGACTCTCGGAAAACTCCCAGGATCATCATGTCCTATTGAGCGAGGCGGCAGGAATCAGATAAATATAAATCGAGAAAATGAGATGAAATTTCAGGGTCTGTCTGACTATTGTGCTAAATTATACGGAATCCAATGAGGCCTGAATGTTCTCATTAATCAAGACAGCGTCCCAGGTTGCCAGTCCTCCCCTCCCCCCCAATAGTGGACCCCTGAGGAGGGAGTTAATTAAACAGTCAGAAACAAACACGTTCTGGTGTTATCACACCTGTGGGTTCAATAACTAAAACGGATAATCAAAATCCCCGTGTAATGATAATGGCACATGCTTTCAATTTCATAACATCAAGGGTTTTCCTTTGTGTGCATCATTTCCATTTTTGCATTGACTTTTCTTTTGGGGTTTTTTTTTTCCATTGACCCAGGTTCATCCTTTTTAAATCAAATCAAATTAGACCAACAAAGCTTATATCAACATCATAAGTAATGTATATCAATAAAGCTCTCCTGACTACTCTTATTTCTTTTAAAGACTTTTGATAAATTTGCTCTACATTACTGATTAAAAAAAAATAAAAAAAATGCTGCAGCAAGTAACAAACACCTTTCCAGGACAGAAATATAGACAAAGTCTTTACTTTCTCTTTCTGGTGGAATCTCATGGCAGCCTCCTTCTCCTGCTCCCTCTTTAGTCTCTCCTCTTCTTCCTCTTGACGTCTTGCTGCTATGGCTGCCTCCAGCTTCGCCACCTCCTCCTGCTGGGCCCTCCACTGCTGCAGCTATGGACGCGCACCGGGAAGAAACAGCAACAACAACAAAAAAAAGCAGATTATCATCAATGCGAAGTGACTTTGAAAAAGCTACGAACAGACAACGAGATGCCAAAGTGCCAAACGGATGCCAAAGGAGATGGCAGAAGCGATTTTAACACTTTATGTGCGATCACCTCTGGATTTGTCAGAGCACTAAATCGTAACGAGAGTAACTCTGAAGTGAGTGACTTAGACCTGCCTTCCAAAAGGGTTCTATAGTGTTGAAACTTTTTTTTTTTTTTTTTTTTTTTTTAACGTTTGTCACATTAAAACCTTGAGTTTAATATTTTATTGAGCTGGAATGTGACAGGCCAACACAAAGTCAAGTATGCTTAAGCACATAATAGATGCATTTTATCTTTCTATCAGTTGCGACCAGCTTTTCTCCACAGCCTTAACTCTGATCAGTCAGCTGTGTACCTCTGTCTTTATGAACTAATGTTCTCTATCACACCTCTGAGTCGTTTACTGAACAGCTGTATTTATACAGAGATCAAATTACAAACAGGCATTCCATGTACAAATCGGGTATCTTTTGAAGACAACGGGTTGCACTGAATTTTACTCAGAGGCGTCCGCAAATGGGGGATCAATGCAAACGCACACCACGAAGAAATCCAAAACCATTCGATCATTTGCCCTCCACTCTCACAGTTAATATCTCACAGTCAAATCCAACCCATAATTGTTTTTTTGTTTTTTTTTTTATCTGCGATTTAAATGTGACAAATTGTCACATTAAAACTACAGTCTGGCGTTAAGTTTGTGCTCTTCTTTGTGGTATAAAAAGACAAACAGAGGCGTCACTGGCTACAGGAGCAAGGGACAGCTCCGCTGTGCAGCAGCCCGTCCGAGGCCTGCTGAGTATTAAGTGTTGCATTTGACAGGGCAGATGGATTCACAGCTCTATCAGAAGAAAGCTTAGAAATCCCCAAAGGCATGAACTTAAAATTAACATGCTCTCACACACATTAGCACCAGCAGTTATCATAAAGTCAATCGCTCCTGACGGGCTGGCTGAGATAAAAGCAGCAGCTGTGTGTTCAGGAGGGGGACTTCAAACGATCCGGCCTCTAATCCACTTCTATTTAACAATGTTGAGCCTGCAGATAAAGCGCTGTTCCTTTTTAGAAATCATAATATTTTCTCACACGGACTTTTAGTCCTTAATCTGACTTGATGTGACATTTTAGGCGCAGAAGATAAAGCCAATGAATAAAAAATATTCACACTTTTTTTTCAGTCAGTGTAACATGTCTATACGGACAGTGAGGTTAATAGTAATCCTGCTTTCTGTATTGCAATCTGGTGATTGTGAAAGGGCATGGTATTGATTTCAATGCCTTCTGGTGCTCAGTGAAGCAAAGCATTAAATGTACTAAACCAATCACAGAGTTAAGTTGCTCAGCAATGTTGGAAGAGTTAGTAATCGTCTGGTCTTCCAAGTTTGATTTCTTGGAAAATACAGTCAGTAATTAAAAGCAAGAGGGCAAATAACCTATTGTATATAAGTAACTATAAATCAAATAATGTAATTTTAAAAATATATATATAACTAGATTGTGACTAAAGAACTTGAGAGTTGATTTTAGTACAAACCTTTATGAGCTAGCAAGTTAACTTTATATAAGTTTACTTATTTTGTGCATATTTGCTACTCCGCCTGCTTTTGGACGTCTCTCCTCTGATGTTTGTGTCCTTGTAGGGGAAAAAAGAAAAGTTCTTAAAATGTTCTTAAATGCATGTCAGATCCCTGATGGCAGAGGGGACTCATCTTTCACAGATAACATAGAAATGTGTTGCTTCTGTGTAAAACGCATTCCAGGCGGTCAGCCAATAAAACGACAATTCAGTCCATTTTCTTTCTATTTGCTCTGGTCAGAATCACAGAGGGAGTTGGCACTCAGTGGTCATTAAGAGGAAGGCGGGGTAACCCATGCGCAGGTCACTTTGAAAACATTTAACATAATATGAAAAAAATAATAATAATTCAATGAATGAAATATATTACATCGCAAAAAATTTGAAGAAACATCAGGAAAAATTTAACGGTGACAGTAGTGGCAGGAGTTTGCCCTGCAATTGGTGGTTTGCTGGTTTGAATGTAAAATGAAATGGAAGATAATTTGTTTTCTGTTAGATTTTTGTATTCCAGAAAACAAGCAGCCATCATTTAATCAGCTGGTAATCCCTGATCTGTCTCAGATATGAGAAGTATGTTCTCAAATCCAGACTGTAAATAACATGGATATATTTTTAAGAGACATACGTGATGAATAAATATATCTACATATATTTTCATTTGTATTAGTGGACATTTGAAGTTTTTTTATTGTTGTTTTTTTTCAGTAAGTTCAGTTTGCAGAATAATTTGTATCTGAAAAATCCCGTAGATGCTTCCTGTCAGAATGCATTAGTCTGACTTATTGTTTAGGCAGAGATGAAGTGGCATTTTAAGGAACGCAAACGTGTGGGGGGGATCGGAGGGGAGAAATACCATTATGTACAGTAATTTGTCACTGGAATCTCGCTTTCTGTGAATTTAAATAGAAATGGGACTCCATCCTTTTCCATGGCAGCACAAGAAAGACTGAAGAGATGTCAAAATGACAAAAGAATGATAGTGTTTTTATCTGAGCTCTGCAGCATGCTGAAAGCCTTTGTTAGCATAACTGTTCGCTTAAATATTTTCTGTCAGTGGGCGGTGCAAAAGCTGTCAGTTCTTCTGCAGGCCATTTAGTGACAAATCATTAATATATACAGTGTGCTGTGCAAAAGTCTTGAATCATCCCTTATTTGTTTACATTTTGTCTCCAAAGTGACATTTTGCGACATGTTTCAGAAACCCATGTCAAAGTTTTTCTTTGGACTTTGATTGTTTTTTTCATCTGTTTTGGGGCCAATAGTTGGTCATTTTTAGAGAAATGCTTTTTGTTTTGACTGTTTATTTATAAGTATATTTATTTCCATAATCATTTTTAATAATTGTTTATAATAGTAAACAGGCTTATAGTAGTAAACAAGTGTTATTGTTGTTAATATATGTGTAACTGCTTTAATGTATTGAAAAACAATAAAAGAGCATATAAACAGTTTATTAATCTACCTCTTACTGTGTAATATGCACAGCAGACATTTGAACTTGCAGCTGTTCGGTGCAGATTTTTGTTTTGGGTGTCATAATCTAGACTTCTTTTGAACTGAAAAATTCTACTGTGTAGGGGGGGGGGGAAAAAAACAATTTCAAGATTTGAATCTACAACAAAATAAAAACCATAGTTAACAATTTGTGGTTCGCACACATTCCCAGATTAACAGAGAATGGGATGAAAAGAAAGTTAAATATGCAAGCTATGTGGACAAAAACAACTTGACTGCCTTTCTCTCCAGTTGCACAGCACTTAAAATGCATGCTTTATAAAAAAAAACCTAAAATCTCTCGCGAGTAAGTAAATGCAGCTTATTTACATAACTCTTTTGAGTACGTAAATAAACTTTATTTAGTGACGTTTTAAAGCATCAGGAGAGTGAGAGATCTAGTTTGAGATGACAGAAGGACAACACAAGCTCAGACGGCCACTCAGTTCTACGAACTCGTGCAGACTGCAGTCTCTGAACACACAGTGCGTTGGACCTTGAAGTAGACGGGCTGCAGCAGCCAGCAGAAGACCAAACTGTAACTCATATAAGAACAAGAAACTGAACAATAGAAAAATATTGCCTGGTCTAAATGTGTCTTTTTTTAAACCTTCTAAGTAAAATTCTGAATCATAAGAAAGTGAAGAATTAAGGAAGTTCTGTAGACAAACGGGACACAACCGAACACAGTTCACATGTAAGACTACTTTCCTGATCAGTATAATGAAACACGAGGCTATGCAATTCTTTAGAGTACTTGAAATAATGTCAGTCTCCAAAATGAGAAAAAGACGAAAGCTCTTTGCTGCAATATGCAATAAGAGTTTCACAGCTGGCCCTATCAGAATTTTTTTCTAATGTCCATAACAGAGAAAATTATACACATATGAGCAATTAACTCCTCAGAGAGTTGTCAGCTGAAGCACTGTGGCCCACGCGCTGTCTCCGCGACTGAGACTTTTCCAACAATGTACTTAATAGTCACTGACAGGGGATCTGCTAACACTTTTGCCGAGAGAATACCCCGATTAACTGGGGAAGGGCACAATAATAGATAATCCGGCCATAATTTAATCCGTGACAGCGTCGTTTGTTTTGCAAAGTACTCTGAAGGCAAATGAGATGTTGTTATAAAAACTCTTGTTTGATGAAAAATGTCCCCCCCCCCCGCCCCATCCGACAGTTGAGTTTTTTGTCCTGCTGGCCCACTCATCTCTTCTCCCACCTGAGCCTGTTGCAGCAATCTGTCATCCCTCCAGGCTTAATCCACTCGTGTGGAAAAACACAATCACACAATCAAAGACGCCTGCGGGCGAAATATGAGCGGGAGGTAAAATGAAAGCAAGGACATAATAAAAGGCTGGAATGAGGAGTAACACCAAGAACAATACCAGCTAATTACAGCAGCCAGAATAGCCCAGAACAAACGCCTGATGAGATGAAAAGACGAGTCTGGCATTTGGTGATAAAAAAAAAAAAAAAGAAATGAAATGAGCTGCGTTGCATCTCAGGCGTGGAATTTTAACTCATGATAGTATTTATCCATTTCACCTTACCTCTGCCAATGTATGATTTATAGGTGCGGACAAAGGTTATACTATCGCTCATCGCAGATAAGGTTTATAATGTCATTTACGAATCCAGGAGGTCATTTTTTTTTATTATTATTATTATTCTCAAGAGAATCATTTTTGATTTTGTGTGACAAGGAGTAAAGAAATTAATTGCCCCTAATTTTCTCCCGGGACATTTTTTACCTGTCCTTTGTAAAGATGAGGCAGCTTTGCTCTCTAAAATAAGTTCAGAACCAGTCTGTCAATGCCTGAGTA